GTAACAATATCAAATTGCTTAAAGGTTATATCTTCGATAAAGAAAATATTCTATCATAAACTAACTCTGAAAAGTTTATATACGTGTATTTGATACAGATTGAGTTAAACGGTACAAGGAATATTTCATATATGTGTGTGCAAGTTTTTGTTTTGTTTTTCTTCTTGGAAATGTGTTTTTTTTTTCAAATTTCAAACTAAATATTTGCATTTTATAATTATCTATGTGATCGTTTCGTGTGTTTTATTTGGCAGCCATTAAGGTAAAATTGATTAAATAAATGTATTTCAAAACTGCTAAAGGTAAACTTAAGCTTATAAGATGTTCTAATAAACACTTTTGTATGAATAGAATCAAAATTGACCTTTCTCGTCTCGTTCATTTGCTTCTCTAGAGCGATCAAAATATATAATCAACTAACTTTCCTGATGTACTACTAAATCGGAAATAAATTATACTTTCTCAAAGGCGCTATAATCTGAGATGAAAAAAAATCCAGTGTTTATATAAACTATAAGTTCTGAAACATATTCGTATTTTAATGACAGTTGCGAATTTTTAATAAATAAATATATATTGTATTTTGTTAATAAATAAGTACTAAGCGTTCGAACAATAATAGAGGGAGTCTATGATGCTTTTGTATTGGTCTATAGGATGAGTTTATCAATATAAAGATACTGTAGACGAGATTATATTTCCTTTGCTGGGTAGCTTGTTTTGTGTAAGGTATGTAAGAATGTTATGTATTTTTTAAATCTAGTGTTATCCATGTGGAATGTTGCCATAACATCGTATATTACAATATACTGTGATATATATCGTGCGGCTTTGTTTATTGCTTAGGATTTATTTAAAAGAATAATTGCTGTGTGTGACTGTGGTTACAAAAGTATAACTACGTATGCCAGTTTTAGTATTACTTTTATGAAGTGCTTAGCCCTAATCATATATAAGCCATGGAATCGCTCTTCTAAGTTCTATAAAAATAATTCAATACTCGTTACTTCTCTGAAAAAGTAAAATAGGGCGGCATTGTAATAAGTAAGTGAAAGAAATTTCACTGCATCAACCTTAGCCCACCTTTTTCACTTTTTGATCATGATCAGACGTGTAAATAAACTGTACAAGTTAAGTTTAACTTGTAGTTGTACCAATAGGATATTTCACGAGCTGTACCACTACTACTACTACTAATACTTGTTGCATTTAGATAAGAAAAAAATCGACCGTTTGATTTTCTAAACAAACTTATGTAGAAGTTTTGATTACTTTACCCTGACAGGACTGTAGGTAAGTCTACAGGCTTACAATGCTAAAAGTAAAGTCCGGGGCTCGATTCCCTGCTGTGGACGTAGCAGATAGCTTAATGTGGCTTTGCTCTAATTCAGACAATTTTGATTCTTCTCACTGTGAGTCTCAGTCTCTAAGTTTTACAATAGTCGTTAGAGAGTATTTGTCGTTAACAGTTTTAATTGCTATTAATATTACTAGTATTAATAACTATGTTATGAAACTAGTGCCATTGCGATTAGTAGTGGTATTACTTTGTCATATAATGTGGAAATCGCGTGTAATTATTTGGAGCACGATTAGACAATTTCACTTTTTTTTTAATTTGGCATGTGTGAAGTAATCTTTTTTTCCTCCGCCTTCCATACTGTAGCAGTATAGCTACTATAGGTCATTGAGTAAGTAAAGTGACTTGTACAGTGATTTGAATTTAACTTCTGTTAACTCTTTCATCAGGGGCTGGGACTGACCTCGTAACCATTTTGTGCCTCTTATAGTTTTTGTGCTATAACTTTTAAATTAATAAGCAAATGTTAATGAAATTTGCCAGATTATCAGTAAACATTACAATGTTTTCATATGCAAAATATCAATTTTTTTTTTATTAAGTCTTATGATTTGTAAAGCAATGTTTTTCTCATGCATTTTTTTCTTTTCACATGTTGCTTATCTATCATGCAAAGATTAAAAATACTTTTATGCATGAGAAAATTTTCAAATTTCATATGCAAATTCTTTATAATGACCAAATAGTTATCAAACGTTTCTTAAGAAAAAACTATTTTATTTATTTTCAGTAATTAATCTATGTACAGGTTCAGTAGATTTGAACAATCTCGTAACCACCATAAAAAAAATTGGGAAATAAATATAAATTATGCCTCTTTCATTCTAGAATGAACACATATTATACCATGAAAACATATATGTTGAGACTAAATAGCTTAAATCTCTTAACATTATACATTTATATATATTTATTATTTATATCATATTGACATTTCAGTCGTGTGTGGCTAACAATACAGAAATTGCAATGATGTGGCTCATGTGCACTCCTGATAACCTATCAAATAACATAAAACTGACCTTTGGTCTGTTCCAAGTAACTTGTTTTAATTGTGTTTTAGTAGACTAGTATTAGTCACATTTCAATTATTATACATGTATATAGATTATTGCTATTTTGAAATAACTTCTTAAACTTAATTTTTTTAAAACACAGAACAGAAAAATAAAGAAGTAAAAGAAACCATTATCTCTTCTAGTTACGACCTTTGTACTCGGTTGCAATTGGTAACATGAAACAAAAGCTTTTTTAGATTTTATATATACATTTGAATAACTAAAAAAATCATAAATTATACATCAATACCGTAGAATTCCAAAATAATTTATCAACCTTAATAACTAAGATTTATTTTAGTCTAAAAAATATGAAATTTTCGAGCAGACTAAAGACGCGCCCTACCTCGTTTAAATATTGGTTCAAAAGAAAGAAATGTCTGACAAAGCTGCTAGGGGGAACATTCTGAGCTTCCAATTGGTTATTCATGTCATATATAAAAGTAAGTGTATATAAGGGAGTGTTTCCAAAAATGGAAAGTGGTGAGAGGGTGCCACTGTTTGATTTATTACATGAGCAATATCTTAGCAAATAAAAAAGATGAGACTTCTTATTTTATATTCTAGCTTGTCAATATTTGTAATTTGAGTTTCTAATTCGTATGAAACTATAGACTTGATATTTTGATTTCACAAACATCTGATTTGAATCAGTGCTGCATTCAACATACCACGTGACACACAGAAATCAGTGTGTTGTTTTAATATTTACTTTAAATTAAGAAATTGATTGATGTATAGTACAAAAATTTGAATCATAATCTACAGTTTGATACCAAACTTATTGACATAAATTCATGTAATAGTAGTTCAATAAAATTTTGAATGCAAATCTACAAACAAGATGACATGGTCTTTCACCCGTGATTCGTCTCGTGAGTGTTAAAGTGGGTAGACATGCCACAATTGAAATGTTTCCACTGTTTAACTCTTGACTAGTCTGGGTGGATTCCAACCAGCCTGTATCCATCAAAGTAACCATACAGCAGTTATACTGTAACTTTTTAAAATGAACACGCACATTCATGAAATTTTGCTTATTACCAGTAAACATTTCAAAGTTTTCGTAAACAAAATATCAGATTTTCTTCAATTAATGATTTTGCTCGTGCATTTTGTCTTTTCAAATGTTAACTATTCAACATGCAAAGTAATTTTGATTTTAAGATTAAAAATACTTTAATAATTCATTTGAAAATTGTCAAATTTGCACTCTAGGTATTTTGTCCTTGTTTAAATATGCTTGTTATTTTGCTTGATTGAATATTACTCATTTATTATTAAGTTCAATATTTAAATTCAGTTTAAAGTAAATTCTGATAATCATGAACATTTTTTGCGGTATGTAATTTGTAACATATTTATTAAATTGTCAATGTTTATCTGTAATTTTGTCATACATATTATTTATAAATTTTATGACAATATTTTAGTTATTAAATGCTTGTATTTATTTTTCTGTTCTTTGTAGTTTTTTCTCAATAAATGTATCAACCATTGATCAGTGTTTTCATTGCATTGAGTCTCAAAAGAAAACTATAGCGTTGTAAAGTTCTGATGATCTATTGAGACGGTATTTAAAATACCATTTTAGGAGATTATATAGATTATTCAAATGAAGTCTGACAATTTTCAGAAAAGTATTTTTTTAATCTTAACATCAAAATTACTTTGCATGTTGGATAGTCAACATACCAAATGAAAAAATCAGTAGTCAGATCTGTAATTAAATATTATAATATTTAACTAAAAAAACCTGATATTTTGTGTATGAAAGCTGTGTAATGCTTATTGATAATCCATAGTCAGGATTAACTAAAGTCTACAAACTGAATATGTTAAATGTTTTATTGAGAGTTGTTGGCACTAATACTGGAGCCTTTGTTGGACAAATGCAAATAAAGGGATGAGAATTTTCTGTATATCTTGATGTTTTTTGTTAGTTTAGGTACCTTTTGAATGCATTGTAAATTTGGTGATAAAGTTCAGGTGCAGGAGTCAAACTTGGAAAAGTCAGACAGAGAGTTGTTTGTGGTCTAGTATTGCTATCTAGCAGTGGGTGAAACTGATTGGACAAAATATACTTAGTGAGAATTTAAGGGAAATGTTTATGATTATACAAACGTTTTGGCTGTTAGCCTGCAGTCATCTGTTTTTTAAAGCACATTGTGTGAAAGTGAGATGGCTGCAATGTAGTGATCTTTTAAATATGCAAAAATGGCAAACATAATTAAGAAAGAGGCCAGAAAAATATGAACAAATAAAACCTGTTAAACATAATATAAGTACGTTAGTTAAGCTGAAAATTGGATCTTTTTAACGTTAAGTTTAACAGTAAGTGTTACTTAAACTTTCCCTCTGTCAGCTAATAATATAGATACTTCACTATAGGGAGGTTCGCCGAAGTACTTC